CATTATTCACAGTAGCAAAGAGATGGAAACAACCTAAGTGCTCATCAATGAATGAATGGGTAAACAAACGGTGGTACATATATACAATGGAATGCTATTGAAATTTAAGGAATAATGAAGAATCCTTTGAGAAAAAGCTCAAGATGTGGATGAACTTCAGTGAAATAAGTCAGTTCCAAAAGGAGAAGTATTTTATGAGTCCACTATTATAAAGTCAGAGTCCTGGTATAGCGCTGTGGGTTAATGCACCGAACTGCAAAGTCATTTTGAACCATGAGGTCAGCAGTTCAAGCTCACCAGCTATTCCTTGGAAACCTTATACAGGGTCGCTGTATAAGGGTTGAAACTGGAATCAACGGCATTTAAGAACAACAACAAATTATAAAGTCAAGGAACAGTTTACACATAGAAAAAAAATGTTTTAGTGGTTACCTGAGATGGGACGGGCAAGGGTTGGGAAATCCCTAACTAGATAATGTTGTTGTTGTTATATTGTTGTTCAGTGCCACTGAGGTCAGACTCACAGTGTTTAGGGTTTAGTGTTTAGTGGCTGGTGGGTTTGAACCATCAGCTTTGCGGTTAGCAGCCCCATGCTTAATCTACAGCACTACAGGTAAAGGAGAAAAGCAATACCTAATGACAGAGTGATCAGCACATAAAAAACATAGAAAAGGAAGACACTTAAAGGTGCATAAGAGCTAACAGACAACAAAAGGTAGATACCATTATGCACAGTCCTACATTATCACTAATAATAAGCTTTAATCTATAAGTAGGTACCTAGGCTGACAGGCAAGATGAACAGGAAAGAGTAAGCAAAAGGAATTACACTCATAGCCACATAGAGCTCTGTTTGGCAGATGACATGTCTGCAAACACATTTGTATATGCTGTAAATGTATCAATATTTATAATAGAGCAATTAGGGGACAAAGGTATATAAATTTCTTAGCCATAACCAAACACCTTGAGGGTATGAGTCTCTGGGCTTAGAGGCTTCAGACCATAGTTGAAGGTGGCCAGCAGGATCAATTGGCATACACAGAGGACTGGAGTGGAGATTGAAGCATCCAGCTGATAAGAAGAGAGGGCATATGCATAAGAACACCCACACTTGCAGATAATGCCTGGCTTCAATGGCTAGATGATCAGAGCTCAACTAAAAGAAGAAAGAAGAGGGAAAAAAGAGTAAGCTGACACAATTTGATGAACTTGACCTACACCTTTGGATGCAGTAGCTCAAAAGAGGGAACAAATCTTTACAGCAAGGATCATTCCCACCCCCTTCATACACAGAGTAGACAGGGATGGGCAACTTAGACACTGGCTACCCAAAATGGGGCTTGGGGGCTACAAAGGCAAGAAGTGACTGGCTTACAAGCTTTCAAGAGGGAGCCTAGATCCAGAGGGCGTGGAGGAAGGTAGAATCTCCACTGAGTAGTATCCAATCTGTCTGGGTGGGGCTGATGAAAGGGGATGGGGATAGGTCTCTTATGATATAATATTGAATAATTGTTATCAGGACTGACTGTGAGAGTTGGAATTGTAAAGGTAGACGTTCTGCAGCAAAAGGAAGGAAGAGGTTGACTTTGCGGTTCTTGAGCGGAGTCCCTGGGACCATCAAGGGAGGAGAGCGGAGTGCAGGACTCTTCCCAGAGAAATAGTGACTCCAGAGATGGAGGCAGAGATGATGACTTGGAGAGATGGAGCAGCTGGGGACTCTAGACCCACAGAGGGAGAGGGGCTGTGTGCTGACGACCAGGGGGCAGGCTTGGAAGATGTACCATTTGGTTGGTTGATGATACATGGAGGGGATTGTAACCAGGGCAACGTAAGGATATAGGATAGGATGAATGTAAAGCTAATGTTCTCCATGTAAACTACCACATAATTCACAATAAAACATTTTTTAAAAAGATCAATCGGCATAGCATAGTCCACAATGACAATTATCTCTGCCTCATACTTCGGTGAGTAGCAACTAGCCTCTTAAATCAACCTAATGGTTTGTCCCCATTTGGAGCAAAGAAGAGTAAAGAAAATCAAAGATGTATGGAAGCAAATTAATCCAAAGAACTAATGAACCACTTGAACTTCAACTACATGATGACCCTCAGACCAGAAGAACTAGATGGTGCCTAGTTATTGCTGCTGATTATTCTGAAATGGGTCACAATAGAGGGTCCTGGATAAAGTGTGAGAAAATGGAACCAAAACTCAAAATCTTAATTTAAAAAAACAAAAAAACAAAATCAGCTTACGGATCTGACCGAGACTGGTGGAACTCTCAAGAGTGTGGCCTTTGCTGACTCTTAATACCTGGATCTGAACTCACCCCCCTGGTTCAGCTTTCAGCCAAACAGTAGACAGGCCTACAGAGTGAACAAAAACACCAGGGAAGTACACACTCCGTAGAACAGTCCACCATTTGATATCAAAAGGGCAGCGTTTGCCTGGACAAGGTTGCCGGTTCAAACACACTAGCTGCTCCATGGAAACAGGGTTGCTATGTGTCGGAACCAACTTGACAGCACCTAAGATCAGAAAGCATAGGCAATAAAGACAGATGGACATTGTAAACAGGAAGGAAATGGGAAGAGTGCTTTTATATTGTGAGGACTATAATGTCATGAAGTAAAAATGTGTGTTGGAATGAAAATTCAGTTTGCTCTGTTATCTCTCCTTGCTATATGTAACATAATTTGTGCTTTTAGTAATTTCTTACTGTATTTATTTTGTATGTAAAGTATTTTGGGTAAACACATTTAAGGGCATGTATCATAAAGATACTAAGTCCATGATTTTTATTGGGTTTTTTTTTAGCAGAAATTTTTGTTGTAAGATACGAAAACTTTGGATGCTAAAGTTTACTGCAAACTAAACAATAAATCTTAGTATTCACTTCCTTGATTAAATATTTCCTGAAACAGAATAAGCATGTAGCGGCCTTTAAAAGGTTTGAAATTAATAAGTATTAAATTGAATAATTATTTTAATAGTATAGTTTTAATAAAGTAACATTTTTCCTTGAAGTTATATCCTCCATCTTTAAAAACTCTGCCTATTGGTTGCCTTTTATAACCTTTATATAGGGGATCACAATCTTGCTTCAAAAAGATCTGCAATTCTATGACATTACTGGTAAATTTTAAATGTTACAAAAGGATTCACAGTCATGGAAAAATCACATTGATTACACTTGGGTACTACAGCCAGTTAAGGAGCTCTGGTAGCGTAGTGGTTACGAATCGGGCTGCGACCCTCAAGGTTAGCAGTTCGAAACTACCAGCTGTTCCGCAGGAGAAAGATGAGGCTTTCTGCTCCCATAAAGATTTATAGCCTCAGAAATGTACAGGGTCTCTATGAGTCGGAGCCGACTCCACAGCACATAACAACAACTACAGCCAGTTATTTTAATTGTCAGTAACTTGCACACCTATAAAAGTTGAATTGGTAAAAGATGTGTGATAGATTCTTTACAACAATGACCAAAGAAATAAAAAAGAAAAAGCTGCTGAAGCTGTATAAGTACAACCGAACACTTCATGGGATTTGGTTCCTTTGGAGATTTAGGATGATGATTAACTCGTGAAAAACAAAATTACAAGGGAATAATCTTCAATAAAGTATTTATATTGCTGCTACTGAGTGCCATTGAGTCAGTTCTGACTCATAAAGACCCTGTGGGGTTTCTGAGGCTGTAACTCTTATGGAAGCAGAAAGCTTCAACTTTCACCAGCCAAGAGGCTAGTGGGGTCAAACTGCTGAACAGGGATCCTTTCATTTATACTAAGAAAGCTTAATTGGCATATGAGTTCTGTCCTGGTGTGCGCCAAATTCTCTCATGATTATATATAATCAAACATAGTTATTTGCAGTACAATCTTGTAAGTTCTATATAGGTGAGAAAATTTTCATTGAATGAGGAACTAACCTCACAAATAAATGAACACCACATTTCCTTTTGATTTGAGCAGGTTGCCCCACATAATCTGATATTTCCATTAATTTCTTACTGTACTTATGAGTATAATATATTTTGGGGAAACAAATGTAAGGGCATGTACCATACAAATTTTTGTCTTTGTGGGTTTTTTTTTGTTTTGTTTAGCAGAAAGTTTTGTTGTAAGCTTTGGATAGTAAAGTTTTTTGCAACCTAAACACTAAACCTTAGTATTCACTTTTCTTAGTTAAATGTTTCCTGAAAGAATTTAAACATGTAGAGAGGCCTCTGAAAATGTTGAAATTTATTTTAATGGATGTCATTACATTGGTTTGCTATTCTTTTACTATTCAATTTTTATTACTTAAAATACAAGACTGTGTGGCACACTTTTGTTGCTGCTGTTAAGTGCCTTTGAGTTGGTACCGACTCATAGTGTCCCTCTATAGGCTTTCCGAGGAGCTACTAATGAGTTTGAACTGCTTGTCTTGCTCTTCACAATCCAGTGAATCTCCTGTAGTGTGCAACACCAGGAGTCCATGTGGCAGGTTATGTGCTCTTTAATCAGTATGGTCTAACTAAAGTTGTGTGTAAAAATTCACAAGTGTGGGGCCAGGTCTGGTAGCGTAGTGGTTACGAATCGGGCTGCGAACCTTAAGGTCAGCGGTTCGAAACTACCAGCTGCTCCGTGGGAGAAAGATGAGGCTTTCTACTCCCATAAAGATTTACAACCTCGGAAACCCTGTACAGGGTCGCTATGGGTCGGAACCGACTCGAAGGCACTTAACAACAACAACAATGAGAAGAAATGCAAATATGTTAACTCTTCATTTGAACCTCATTGCCTCTCATTTGCTCATTTACTTAGGCTTTTGTTATATGATCATTTCTGGGTACATATTGAACATTTTTGGATGGACACTTCATAGTTTAAATTTCAAGTCTACCAAGACTTTGAAAGTTGTGATTCATTTCTATATAAAAATCTTACATTTTTCGTATAGTGCTTTAAAAGTTGAAGTGTAATGATCAGTCTTGTTACTGGTTTCTTTTTCAGGTGTTAGAAGACAATGACTATGGTCGAGCGGTGGATTGGTGGGGCCTAGGAGTTGTCATGTATGAAATGATGTGTGGGCGGTTACCTTTCTACAACCAGGACCATGAGAAACTTTTTGAACTAATACTAATGGAAGACATTAAATTTCCTCGAACACTCTCTTCAGATGCAAAATCATTGCTTTCAGGGCTCTTAATAAAGGATCCAAATAAGCGGTAAGTCTCAAATAATGCTCAGTAAGTTGATGAACTGGTTAGAAGTTATGTCAAAACTCATTCAGATACAACTGCCTCCATGATGCAGTGTATTGGGTGTAAATATCTTCCCACTGAATTGCTGGTTTCTTTTAACTGCATAATATTGAATATTTAAAAAGTTCAACTTCACTCTAACTTGGACATTATACACAAATTTTTCCAAAGAAGGATGTTGAGTTTTATTATTCATTTTATGACTCAGCAGTTTTTTAATTGCTCTGTTGTTTGAGTTTATGGGTTGGGAGGATGTTTTGTTCCCTTTCAGTTTCTCTGGGCCTTTACATTTTTTCTAATTTGCGTTGTGAAAAGAGTAGACTAGTTTTTATACTCTCCATCCCCCCAGCCTTGGTTAACATATCTAAATACTTTTTTGTTTGTTGTTTGACAACAAAATGTAGCTAATAAAAAGATTGATAGTTTGAAAATTTATATTTCCACTCTTATTATATAGCCCTAACTGCTTTCCTGTGAGCTACAGTGAACATTCAGTTCATGTTTGTATTTTATTTGCACATACATTTCATAAACCATATATGAAATCATCATTCATTTTTAAATGTCCCTTATTGTGTATGTACATTTGTGTATCTATGTATTTGCTTATCTTCCATCTAGCTATGTCTGCATATCAGTACTAAATTACAAGCATCTTGAAGATAAGGATCATTTCCTTAGTGTTGAATCTTCTATAAACATACCTAACATACTATTCTATTTGTAGGGGACTCTCAATAAAATGTGTGAAGGGACCAATGAATTCAAATATTTGGGCTCTGCCTACCTTTAGAGATGATTTACATTACATATATACTTCTAGCTTTTAAATTAATAAAAAAGTAGCATGATTTTACCTTATGCAGAAATAAGCAAAAAAGTATTACCTTTTGTTTTTATGAAACCATTAATTTAATAAATTTAATGAAAAAACATTAAAAATGTAAAGGAGCTCTGGTAGTGTAGTGGTTATGAATTGGGCTGCGAACCGCAAGGTCAGCAGTTTGAAACTACCAGCTGTTCCGCGGGAGAAAGATGAGGCTTTCTGCTCCCATAAAGATTTACAGTCTCAGTCACCCTGTACAGGGTCACTATGAGTCGGAACTGATTCCACGGCACCACCAATCATGGTAACTAAGATAACACCATACATTTGTCAAGTATTTCTGTTTTCTTTCAAACCACCTTTCCATTGATGAGAGGGCTTCAAAAAGTTTGTTGAAAAATGAAATTTAAGAGATACTGGAGTTTTGCCATGAGATTTTTGTTTATGCTGGCAGCCTTTAAAATAGATAAGGTAGATATTATTGTCATCTCCCTTTAATTGGAGAGAATACAGGCCCAGACAGTCTTTAAGTGACTTATCCAAGGTCTCTCAAAATTTCTTGCAGAAGCAAGAGTTCAAATCGAATCTCATAGTGCCTCTTCACTGTGTCTGTTTTCTCACTTATATCCATTTCTTGATTGGTTTTTATTTTATTTGTTTTTATCTCCTTTTTTTTTTTTAACATTTTGTGAATTTTGAAGTTTTACAGAATTCTCAATTGGTTTTTAAATTGTGTCATTTAATTTGATTATGTCACAATTAATGTAAGTGGTAGGTAAATCTTTAAATAGTCTATGATTTCCACTTTATCCAGCACTTGACTTTGGGATCCTATTATTTGACTTGAGTTTCAAAGGCAGTGAGTCCTGTTCCTTTTAAAACTCCCCTGGCTTCTTTCAGTAATTTTTACCATCCTTTTTTTTTGTGACCCTCTGTAAGAGCCTGGTACAACAAAATTGCTCTTGTAGTTTGCATACCTGTCTTTTTTTTTTTTCTTTTTCATCCCCATTCCAATAAAAATCACATAGTAGATACTTTGTAATTTTTGAATAAACGTGAGATAAATTTTAGATAACTGTTAATAATTTATCCTTCAGAGTATTGGTCTTATTTCATAAAGAAGATGATGAAGCATTTTCAATCTTCTAATATTTCCTTTTATAATATATGTTTCAAATTTCTCCTCTGCTTCTTTAAAAACTGAGGGTGCTAGTCTCTGTTTTAAATGTTCACAAAACATATATATGCAATGGAGTATAATAAATATTCATGCCAAACTATGTAAAGATCAAAATTATTAGCCTTCTCTAGGGAATTGAAAGACTTGAGTTAGTTCATTAAGGAGTTGGAGTTGACAAGAGAGGATACTGTCATTCCAAGCAGAAAATTTACATGTAAAGTGCAGCTAGAATTGCAAATGAGTGTGGCATTTGAGAAGTTCAGTAACTAGAGTGTGGGGTATGAGTTGAGTAACATTGGGAGATGAAACTGATATGTTATATTGTAAAGGACCTTATGTTTCTTAGAAAATATTTAATCTTTATTCAGAAGGGGATGAGGAGCCAATGAAGTATTTAAAGCAAGGGACGGTGTATTCAGAACTGAGTTATGAAAAGGTAACTTGCAGCTTTGTTGAGAATAGGCTGGACAAAATGAAGGGTCTGGGTGGAAAGGCAGACGATTATGAAGTTGTCCAGGTAAGAATTAAGGTCCCTCCTAAGACCCTTGTGAATGATTAAATAGGAATGGTCAAGAAGTGGGAGGAGTCGGGGAGGTCTGGAGGTTTCTAATGTAGTTGACTACTTTGGGAATAGGCATTTTATGAACAGGGACTATAGACAAAGAAGAAGGCCCAATGGGACAGATGGTGATGCTTGCTTTGGGCATATCGGGTCTGAACTGTTTATAATATCAAACATAGTTTGATCTTATTTTGAAATCTTAGATTCTAATGAAGTCTAACGATTCATTAACATTGAAATATTTGAGTTATCACACTTTAAAGAATTTTTTTCAGTGGCAGCTAAAGTTTATATTGTTGAATTTGCGTAGTGCTCATGGCTGGTGCTTTGGTTTTACATTTATTGACTTAACATAGATTCAATTCTGGCTGTGTTCATAGTTAAACTACAGTGATAGAACTTGAGTAATTACATAAAAATGAATACAAAAAGCTGGATTCAGACATCTAGAAACCCTAAATAGCAAACATTATAGTTCTCCACCACAACTTCCATCTCACCTACAAGTATAACTCAAAATGAAAAGAAAAAAAGAAAGGAACTGTAGCATACATGTAAAACAGCAATGACTTTCTGATTTTTCTCATGCAGAGTACTTTGATGCAAACTTTAAAATACTAAATTATTTCCAAAAAAGTGTGTTTTAATGTTTGTGCTTTTCTGGCTCCCTAAGTCCTGGTGTGGCACTGTGGGTTAAGCACTGGACTGCTACCTGTACGTTTGGTTCAAACCTACCAGCTGCTCCTTGGAAACCCTATACAAGGTCGCAAATGAGTCGGAAGCAATTTGAAGGCACTTAACAACAGCAACAAAAACAAAAGGGCCTCAGAATGTCTTTTCGATAATCCAGTATTGATCTCTGCTTTCAAAGGAAGTTGCAATGTGGTAGAAGAGATTTAGGAGTCCTGGTATGGCACTGTGGACTAATGTGTCAAGACTGCAAAGTTGTTTGAACTGCAAGGTTGGTGGTTCAAGCTCACCAGTTGCTCCTTGGAAATCCTGTACAGGGTAGCTATGGGTCAGAATTGACTCAATGGCACTTAACAACAACAAGAAGAGATTTGACAGCACTTAACAATAATAACAACAGGGGAAATGATGCAAATAACTAGTAGGGAATTCTCAGCTTCAGCTAAATACAGATTTGCTGATCTGAAGGTTCCAAGTATGAGCGTAGCTTATTATGATTTGATCTAATCTAAAAGTCCCATGTCAGCTACTGGTACATTTAGTGAATTTTATATGGAGTCCTGGTGTGGTGCTGTAGGGATAAACACTGGACTGCAAGCTTAGTTTGAACTGCAGGGTCAGCAGTTCAAACCCAACAGCTGCTCCTAGAAACCCTATACAGAGTCACTATGTATCAGAACCAACTCGACGGCACTGAACTACTACAACAACAATAATATGGATCTTGAGACAGGGGACCCAGGTTGTAAGAACCACATCATCCCTGAAGATTTTTAGTTATCGGCTGAATGTGTTCCTCCCCATTCTGACAGTGTGTCTGAGGATCTGAGGTGCCTTCTCCATCCTGTTTTCTACACCTGATAATTCCAGAATTCACTAGAATTGTACAATTACTGATTTTCTTTTACCTGTTTCATGTTCTTCCTATTCAGTGATGTGTTGAAACTGGCACATATCAAATCAGGAGAGCCAGTTGTTAAATTTACAGACTTTGTGAATGGTTATTAAACCCAGTCTTGATAAAGAATTAAATTACATAACCTTATATTTGAATCAAGTATATTAAAAATAAAGCTAATGCTCAAAACTCATCACTGCTTAATATTTTGTTACATTTATTATTCACTGTCTTGGGGTTATTTACATCTATTGTATCTGTATGAGTCTACATGTAATGGGCATCTCTTACCAACTCTATGTTGACTGATGTCATGCTGAGAGCTTGAAATTGGCCACGGTAGGAGTATTTACAACAGGGATATCAG